TTTATATTTTTTTTAAGAAATCCTCCAAAATAAACAATAAAAGTTACTTCACATTGATTTTGGGAAGCTTCCTAAATTAACTTTTTTGGAAGGCTTCCTCATGGACTTTTATTTGAGACTGTTATAAGACTTTTAGTGTTAGAAATCACCAGCATCGTTATGGATGTTAACGTTAAAAGTGTATCAGCATGTATTAATGTCATTTCAATCCTTGAATTTTATGGAATTAACTCTCTTAGTAAAATACCAATTTAAAAAAATGAGCATGGCTCAATTCAAGGGAAGATTGCATGTCAATAAATTGATTTTCTGGTACTATCTGATTGTGGGTTTTTTCACTTCGCATTAGTCAAAAAGAAGATCTCAGGGACTATCGCTGGATGCTATATATCACTGCCTGAACAGGACCATCTTGTACCAGTTCTCAAGGGCACACAAAACTGTTCCTCAGCAAGTGGCTCTCCTTGATTCCCTAAGGGTCCTTACTGTGAACAGGAACTTAATTCTGGGACCTGGAAATCATGATCAAGAGTTCATCAGCTGCCTAGCTCACTGCTTGATTAATCTGCATGTGGGAAGGTAAGTATCTTAGACAGAAGTTCATTGCAGAACCAGGGCTGTGAAGTATTAAGGTGACCTGTTCTCTCTCAGCACTCACCTTGCAAATAAATCAGCAAATTCTGAATGACTGTTAATAACTTTTCAGCCAGTGAAATACAAGCAAGCTTAAGTGATTCATTTTGAAACAAAATTAAGTTTGAGGAGCACAGATACAGAGAATGTTTTTATCTCCTTTTACAGAAGTATTTAAAAATACTGACACAAATGCTTATCTATCCATTTGTTGTTACTCTTTGATAATTTGAAATGTTTTCAGGGTAGAGAGAAACACTAGCGTAAGTAATTAATAGTCAAAGGGATCTGTCACTAGATTTATGGTCTATTGAACTATTTAATACAAATTCTGTATTTAGTACTTGGATGTATAGCATTGAATAAGTCCAGCCAGGTATTAAATCAGATGCCCATAACAAATGCTGTAGACACCAACTTTTCTGCATTGCTGAAAATGCCTGCCTACAACTTGTGTTTCATCCGAAGACACCAGGGAAGAATTGTCATCAGAAACTTTAATGCTATTTGTAGCCTCATCTGCTTCTTCAAATATTATCATCTTCCTTTACCACCACCAGTGTCTGTGGTGTGTCATATTTTATAAACCTTCAGTTCAGCTTGTGACTGTAGATTATCAGAACTCAAGTCCTGGACAGAAGTGAAGATATGTGCTGTCATAGCACGCATTAATCTCTGTGATTCTGTCACAGGGAATCAAATGCTTTAGCTTGGTTTTGGTTTGGGGTTTTTTGGGTGTTTTTTTCCCCTGGTGTTATTAATTGGTTGTGTATTTGTAGCAACGTTGATGGGTTTGGATTGGAAGCAGAAGCGAGGATGACAACTTGGCACATTATGATCCCCTCTGATATAGAACCAGATGGAGTCTACAATCAAGATGTCAGTGAAGGTAATATGAGAATGACAAAGCCACAGATACCTTCTAATGCTACTTCTGTATTGTCATCACTAGTCTTTTACCCTAGTTACTCCTTGGGCTGGGGAGAGGAGATTGTGGGATGGGACGGGGTGTATAACAATATTAAAAGTAGATTAAAATACCAAGACAGATATCCAGGGTTAGTTACTGTTCTGTTGAAATAGCAAGAGGTCATCATTGTTTTCTGGACATGCACCAGAATTAGAGATACTGTTTTATATGCATTGAGTTGAATGCAATAGAAATGGATCATTTTAGTTGTGCACCATTGTTTGTATCAACTGGATCTTACATAAGCATAGGGAAGAAATAACTGATTAAATTATTATTCAGTGGCATCCTCAGGATCTTTCACTCAAAGGAAATTTATGAACTAGCTGTGGAGAAAGGATGCAGTGATTTTTAATTTTAATTAATGCATATATTTACTATTTATGCAGGTGTGTACTTGTGCATAGTCATATGTAAAAGTATTAAGTGTAATGTATGTGTGGAATTATATATGTGTTTATAGAAATAAACTTCTATAAGATTTTTTTAAATCTCAATTTTGTTAATAACTAATCAGAGCCACTGTTTCAGATTCACAGAGAAAAAATTGTCAAAATTATCTGTTAGATACTTTCTGATAGAACATCAATGGCAGAAAAAGACAGTCTGGTCAAAGGCATTGTACGAGTCATTTAAGAGGGGAAGAAACTAGAGTATAATTGCAGAAATTATTCAGTTCACTACTGTAAAATTAACAATTCTATAAGCACCATAGAGAACTTACTGTTTGTGATCTTGTACTTACACAGGTCGCCAGCTTCTTTTAAAAGCTATAAACAGAGTGTGGACAGAGCTGATCCATAGTAAAAAACAGGTTTTAGAAGAAGTTTTCAAAGTGACGCTACCTGTCAATGATCGTGGCCAAGTGGATATAACTGTTGCAAGACCTTTTATTGAGGAAGCAAGTTTAAAGTGTTGGCAGAATCATTTGGGTAAGTTTAACTCAGGATTTATCTATCCTGAATGGTAGATTTCCCTGAGGTGAATGATACGCACTGGATGTTTTAATACGGGCTTAGCTTTTGTGTTGCAGTAAGTACTCTAAACTGTCTTTTTTTAACATCTCTCACTCAGAAACTTTACTGTATATAAGATGCACTTACAATCCTCTGCACGTAGGACCTTTATTCAGCAGTGTTGGTGATCTCAACAATGTCTTGTATTTCTGAGGCAGCGCGTGCCAACTAGCATACTGTGGATTAGTGATGGAGCTATTTAGCTCCTTCTCACGAACATTTGGATTAGCATGATCTGTGTTACCATTCTCAGGACCCCTCTTGAGCATGTCTGGGTGCAGCCTGCAAACTCTCGGTCTGGTGATAAGATTGGAAATGTGGGGCAGAACATTTCTTCTCTAGCAGCAGTGATACTTCTCGTCTTGGAAATCTGTTAGGAAGCAGCTTTGCAGGAAAAGGACCTGGGAATCCTGGTGGACAACAAGTTAAGCACAAGTTAGCTCTGTGCCCATGTAGTAAAGAAGGCCAACTGTTGCTGGACTGAATTAGTTAGAGTTTAGACAGCAGGTAATAAAATTCTATAGACGTGACTCCTTTGATGATTACAGAGCTCTAAAATAACTGAGGTTAACCTGGATGTACAGAAAGCATTTTTGCGAACTTGCAATACTTGGGGTTTTTTGCGGTCTCTCCATTTCTGGATGTGCTTTAATCCTGTCTGATGTTTGCTCAAGTTTCCAGTATCTCCCTCATAGTCAGTATATCTGCAGAAATGTTTTGAGTAGAATGAAAGATCTTAGGAGAAATTATTGCTATAAGAAAGTAGTAGTGATTTTAAAGGAAGAGAAAGCAAGCTTAAAAATGAAGCATATTAAAACAATGAGGAATGTGAGCATGTACTTTCTAAATCAAAGGTAACTAATACACAATACGATACATTAGCTGAATATCAGGAGAATGTTAAACTGTTGAGAGAGCTGAACTAAGCTGTGATTCTTTTTTTTTAACTTCAGTTTTAAAGTAAGCACACCAGTCCTGTGGAGTTGACTATCAGCTGGGATTGCTTTGTGTGCGCAAAAAGGTGAAGTAGGCCCACTTAGCTTCTCAGCTCAATACAGCATATTTTGCTGCCAGATTGGTTAGTGGGGTCATGTTGTAGCTGCTTTTTGGGTAGAGACACGATGCTCAGCTGCATTCTTTTTTATTTTTTTTTCCACAAGTGTCTACTGTTTATAACATAAATGATATAAATTCTGTTATCTTTATAACTGTCTTGAGAAAAAAATATTTCTCTGGGTGCTGTCTCCCTTCTTTGGAATGCCCTTTGTTCTTTAAGGAGCGTGAAATGGCAAAACTGAAGTTGGTGGGGTACAGGGGAGACTAGGTGATGATCTGGTGGTTTTTTTTTTTTTTAATACATAGTTGGTTTTCATCTCTTCAGATGAGGACAGCATTCATAGCTCATGGACCCTGATTTCAATAATCAATAAAATGAGTAGTAAATCTGTTTGTCATGCTTCATGTCAAAACGCAAGCAATTCCCAGATTTCACCTGGGGATCTTCCGTCATAGAAGTCATGAATGTTTGATGTAAATGTGAGTGCTGCTGGGCACTCTTAAGTAACAAGAAAAACCCACAAACAAACAAAACACATGCACACACTCCCAAAGCCACCCTAATCCCACCTTTTTAAAGCAGCAGAAAAGGTTATTCTCTTTAAAAAAAAAAAAAAACCAAAATATAACGGGGGGAAGGGTGAAAGAAATCCATCTCAAAAGTGCCCCAAACACTTTCTTTTTGTTTTTTCAGCTCATGAGAAGAAATGCATCAGTAGAGGGGAGGCTTTGGTTCCAACCACACAGTCCAAACTTTCACGAGTTAGCAGTGGGTTTGGACTCTCTAAACTAACTGGTTCAAGGAGAAACCGCAAGGAGAGTGGACTCAATAAACACAACCTCTCTACACAGGTACTTTCTATCAATTAATAACATGCAGTCTAAAATTCAGCGATGTGTGTTCAGGGTATGTGGTGTATCTAAGGAATCCTGCAGAGTATGAAATGACATCTAGTGCTTGGATTTCATTCCTCTTTTTGAATATCCAGACTGGACAGCTTCTGGACAGCTTTTGTGTGTCCTAATCTAGTAGGTGCATCTACGTTAAGCCAAGAGTTAAAACTCTAATGTTTTGATAATCTGGGTCTTAAATTCAGTTTGCACTACTGTTCTGGAATGGAATCTGTAAGACTGATGCTTGTCCTTCTTTCCATCCTGCCTCTAGGATGGAAAAAATCCATTTATGAGTGTGTATGTATCATGGCTGAACAAGTGCTGCTTTGCACTGTTTTTATTGTACTGCAGAGAAGAGTTCAACAAAACAGTATGTGGCAGTAGAATTGGACATTCACTTTATAAACCTGCTTGCTTTAAAAAAATAACTAAATTTAAGAAAAAATATTAGACCAGACTAGCACAGCAGTGGTGCTCTCAGCAGGACAGTACCTAATGGGGCATTGCAAGAGTTAGTATAACATATTTGAGGCATATTTGAAAGAGAGGTTTTGAAAGTGCATTGGCAGGGGAGTTGGACTGGATGATCTCCAGAGGTCCCTTCTGATCCTGATGATTCTATGATTCTGTGAAGAGGAAGAAGCTCACAAACTGAGCTGACAGGCGCCATTGCTGGGCGTATCAGTATAGGGAGCGGTAAGTGAAAACAGGTATAATGCAGTACAGAGTGAGGAGTGCTGAGTGTGTTGAGAATTTCCTACAAACTAGGCAGCATCCACAAAGTATTACTTGAAAGGAAATAGGGAAAAGTAGTGATATTTGTCAGTGCCAATCCTTAGCTCTTTGGGAATGTTCTGAACTGTTATGTGTTTTGGAATATTTTCCAAATATTTGCCAGGAAACCCCAAACAAAACAAAACCTTAAATATTGTTGCATGCAATAGGTTGAAATTCATCATGTAAGTAATTTTATTTGTCCAAGAAACAATCCTTTTCAAGCAAGTTTAGCAAAGTGATGTATTCATAGGCTTTTCATTTAATCAAAATCTTCTTTTATTAAGTGTCTTTCTGCCTGTCCTCTTACCTTTGTACTAGGAAATTTCCCAGTGGATGTTTACTCACATTGCAGTGGTTCGGGACCTGGTTGATATGCAGTATAAGGAATATCAGGAGGTAAGGTTCAGAGGATTCATTACCTGACACTGATATTTTCACCTGTTAGGTTAGACTGATCCCATTTCTCATAAAAATATTTGGCTGTCATTGGTGAAATGCTTGAATGTTTAGATATAGTTGTTATTTTAAAGTTTTTTTAAATGCAATCAAATAAGTGAGGAAACTCATTTGGATATGGTGTTAGATGAAAATTCTTGTATCAATATTACATGTTAAATCTTAACTTTTTTCAAGAAGGTTAATTAGTCTTTCCTTAGAAGTGTGTGGGGGAAAAAAAAAAGAGATTGGAAATATACTAGAGTATGGTGTCTTTCTAAAACATTGTACAAAAATTTCAGAGAAGATGTGGAGAAATACTGTGTACATACACTAGTACAAACACCCACTGTGTTTTACAGTAACACAAAGAAAATTTTATGGTACTTTTCCTAAATCATACAGTGATAGAAAGTGGCTGCTCTGTGCCTTCTAGAATGAAATCATTGCACCCTGTGGTTTCTTTCAAATATCCCCAAAGACCTTTAGTTCAAACTAGTTGCTGAACTGCATGCTATAAATCTTAAGAAATCGGCTTATGAGAAAGACAAGTCATTGAAAGTAATTAGTTAAAAAAACAATCACCAAACTTTGCTTCATTTAACTTCTTTCTCCAATGTAAGTACAGTCAGGGAAGGCTTCCAAAACAATTTTTGTTTTCATTCTTAAAATCCTTTTTCAAAATCAGTGGCTTAGTGTTACATTTCTTTCATATTTGCTGTTTAGAAATTCATTAAGAAATCTCATTAAGGCACACTAAAAAATGCTGCTAGAATTATTCTTACATATTTTCCTGTGAAAATGTCTCTGCTCACATCAGAGACAGGCATGAAAGCATGAATCCTGATGCATCTACAAATGTCTTTGTATTCAGCGTCAGCAGAATGCGTTAAAATATGTGACAGAAGAGTGGTCTCAAATTGAATACGAGTTACTACGAGAACGAGGTTTGTGGGGTCCCCCCATTGGCTCCCATCTTGACAAGTGGATGTTGGAGATGACTGAGGGTCCCTGCAGAATGAGGAAAAAGATGGTGCGAAATGACATGTTTTACGTTCAGTATCCATACATGCCTGAAGCTGAGCAAGAAGCAAACGTACTGGTAAGTAGTCAAGATTTTGTGATGGGTAATTTTATGGCCTGTTGTAAAATCTGTATTTTTCTAAGTTTATTGTAAGAAACATATTTTACTCTGGTATTACCTGGTACATCCTAGCTGGTTGGTGAGGTCGAGTTGTTCCTCGTAGTATATTTAGGGAAGGGACTGAATCACTCAGCTCAAAACTAAGTGCACTCAAAGCCTAGCAATTACAACATAAGATGAGGTGTGCTTGCGTCAGCTAAGTGGTCATGCCAGTGCACAGTAGCAGCATCTTCACAAACCTCTGGAGGTGGAGGAGTACCATAACTATGGGAGGTTTCAGTCTGAGTTCTCAGCCTTATGCTAAGTAACATGGTAAACAGTGATCTGAAGCCAGTTCATGGGCCTTGCTTTGGGTGCGTTTATGAAACGTATTTTCATCTGTCCAAGAATATGAACATGGGCTGTGTAGCAGAAATGCACGTGGCCTTTGAAAGCTTGACAGTTAGCTCCTGTTAATTTTGCAACACCGTTTTTAAGAAATGGAGCAGTGTTTATTGTGTCTTTTCAGGCATGGGGTCATGCATGCAGGATCTTTTTCCTCAAGTGTGAGTGCCAAAGTACTTAAAAAAAACAAACAAAAAGTAGCATTCAGCCAGTTTTAAACCCTTAGGTATATTTATCTGCTTGCAATCTGACACACAATAGCTGTAGTGACAGTCTAATTCACACAAAGTGATGAACATGCCATCATACATTCTTCTCAAAAGTGTTCTTTCTCTGATGCTTATATAATTGATGCCCTGTTTTCAGTCTGACTTCTCAAGTAGACTTCCTGAGACATCTGATGATACCATTCCTCAAAAGGTAAAGAATACATACACTGACTGAAAGAATGTGAAATAAATACAACTTTTTTCCTCCTGCATGTTAGGCAATCTTAACAAGGCTTCTACGTTTGGCTTTCAACTTGCTCTTTCAGTAAATATTTCCAGGCCTAAAGGTTTTTTCAGTAATCACTTTAGAAGATGTTACTGTGCTCTTCTCAGCCTTCATATAATAAAATTTTCTGTAGATCTTACCTTCCTTGCTGCACACTAACAGGCTGTGTTGGGCTGTGCTATCACTGTTCTCACTGTGCGAAGTGTTGTGGCTTTGGGATCTGAACTAATGGTCGATGGAACATGTTTAGTAATGGGCAATATAATCACTCGGAAGCACTTACCGGAAAAGTTAAGTGTTTCTTTCTAAGAGAGAATCCGGTGAGCAGTTTTGCTCCTTTTTGGCTATAATGAGCTGTAACAGACTTACTTCTGTTAGTGCCCATATTAATTCTGTCTCAGCTGACTCTTCTCCTCATTTTTACTATTAATGAAATATATACATTTGTTTAAAAAATATGAATCCTGAGTTGAAAATAACAGACTTGTTTGGAAGTGGCTTCTCTACAAGCCTCTCAGTATTATGCTGCTTCTCTGTTAATTACATTTGCAGTCTTGCCCATCACTAAGTACAATGTGTAATGTGTGTTCACTCATTTTGAATTACATTCAACAATAAACTAATATGTATAAATGGAAGTAATTCTGTTATACAGAATATCAGATATAAATAGTTACTGTTTTCCTTTATTCATGGTAGCAGTTAGGTGCTAGTTAGGATTTCTCTCTGTAGGCTATACGTAAGTTGCTTCCACAGAGGTTTTAAGCATCCTTTAAGTGGCATTTTCATGATGATAAAGAGTAAAGACTTAGTTGAACATAAGTGAGCAAATTAGATCACAGTGCCTTAAATTTTTTATTTGGGGGCTTAGCCAGTTTGCCCTGAAATAATAAATCTCTGTGTTGCTCATCTTAATCTCTTTGTCATCCCGAGCATCCATTTGTAATAAAGCTAGTTTGATTTTATGGGTCGTTTAGTTTCTCACTATACTATCATACAGATGAACAAAACAAAACCCCAAACGAAAAAAACCAACCCACGTTTTATGTATTTCCGTGCAAAAATGGACAAGGGAAAATCTTGATTGGAGTGTCAGTGATATTCTACAATTCTACATAATGTAAAACAGTCAATTGGATTTATAGTAATAATATTTTTAATTAACCCAACCTAATTTTGAAATTTATGGGAAATAATGCTACAAAACAAAAAATTATTTCTGGTGGAGAACTGAACACATTCACAAAGCTTTCTAGAGTTTGAGGGTGGGGTTAAACAGTAGAGAAGAAAACTTTCAACTGCAGTATAAAATCAATGGGTTTTCATCCATCCATGTGTATCAGTGTGTTTCAATTTTGGAAAGGCTCTTGGCTCTTTAATACCTCTTTTATCTTCTCCTGTCATCATTTTGACATATTTATTGTCCTCATGTAGTTCTTCTATTTCAAATGTTACCTCCATAATCAAGTGAGGAATGTAAGAATTAGCCTGTGGTAGGGGATGGGATGGACAAAGGAAAAAAACCAAAACAACAAACCAACCCCACAATCAAAAAACCCACAAAAAAAAGCCTTCAACAAAACCAACCACAAACAAAACAAACCACAAAACCAAAACAACCCACCACACCACCACCACCATATTGAAATGTTCATAATCCATTGTCATCACCTAAAGGTACAGACAATGCTCAAAGAATTACTTTGGTTAAATGGATACTCGTGCAGGTCTCCTACCCACAAACCATCAGAATCTTTACTGGAAAAGAAACAACTGAATTGATCAAGAAGTGTGAGCCTTAAAGCCTGCCCCTGGATGCTTTTAGTTCATACCAACTTCCACATATCTGTATCTTTCCTTGAGGCAACTTTTTATTCAAACTGTTGCCTAGCAGAGAAATCATCTGGCTAATGAATAAGCTGCATATGTTGTAGGGAGTTACGAAAGACGATAAAATGTCTATCTGATGTATCAGTCACAAGTATCCCAGCCTTTCATGACAGTTCATAACATACTGGCCACACTTCTTATTTCCCATGTGGTAGGTTTATCTGCAGGCAGTTCTTGAACCCCATTGTTACTAGAGTGGCTGAAGTAAGTGGCAATTTAGCTGACAGATTAGATCTACTGAAGAGTCTCTGGTTTTGTCTGTGTTGTTGTATGACTACACACGCACAAAGCACTTGATGGGCTTGCACTGTGCTGCACACAGTATTCCTGATATACAATCACTGGAGTGAGGAGTTGACTGACCAAGTGATTTCTTCAATTATTTCAAAGAAACCTGCTCGTTACCGAAGAGCTATAAGTTATGACAGTAAGGAGTACTACATGCGCCTGGCTTCTGGGAACCCGGCAGTCTTTCAGGATGCTATAGAAGAGAACACAGTGGGTGAAACAACTCAGCAGGAGCCAGAACATGGGGAGGACACTATTGCAAGAGTCAAAGGTTAGATTGTTTTGTTTTGTCCTGAATAGTTTCTGTATATTTATCTGCCTTTATATCTTCTCATGCTTTTGTATAAAGGTCCTGTAGGACTCCTGTTTTAAGGTCTTAGCATTACATCAGTAATTTAAAAGTTCAGTAAGTTTTGCGAAGTGACTTTTTGGTGTGTCAGGTTTTTATTTATCTATCTGTTCTTTTCCAGGCCTGGTGAAGCCTCCCCTGAAAAGATCTCGTTCTGCTCCTGATGGAGGAGATGATGAAAGCCAGGAACAATCACAGGATCAAATTGTTGAGGGGAGTTCAATTGATGAAGAGGAAAAGACTGACAATACAACTTTGCTTCGACTTCTTGAAGAAGGAGAGAAGGTACTGTGTACTTCAAACACACTAAGCACTTACTGTGTTGTAATTTCTGCCTTACATGCTGCAAGCACAAATAATTGTCCTAAATAACTTCACTGACCTACAGCTGAATTTGGTTAATATTTCATCAGCTTCTTTCTTGAAACCAAATGCGTGCTGTGGTTCCAAGAGGATCTCAGCTGAAAATCCTGTGCTGGAAATGTTCAATTTCTTTCTTTCTGCCTGCTAGAGAAAAAAGAGTCTGTCCTGAAGCAAAAGCTACAAGCTATCCCATACTTGGATTATTATACTGTCAGCTTAATTCTATGGAATAGTTAGGGTTGGAAAGGACCTTAAGGTCATGTAGTTCCAAACACCCTGCCATGGGCAGGGACACCACACACTCGACCATGTCACTCAAGACTCCATGCAACCTAGCCTTGAACACTACTAGGGGTGGAGCATATGTTGAAAATACATATATGGAACTTGTTCCCTTCATTGGAATGAAAAACCTTGGTAGTGTTTTATCTCCAAGAACAGTGTTGAGCAACTGTGCTGTGTATTTGGTACTTCAGGCTTTGTGTGTCTAAAGTATACCAGTAAATACATTTGTGATCATAGCTGAGTGGGCTACAGGTTCTAAAATATTCTCAAGAAGCATGGTGCAAGAGGATAAGTTGTAATATATGAATCTATAATCACAGAGGAGGCTTTATTTAACTTCTTTCCCAGTTGGTAATCACAGGAATTAGGTATATGTCTGATAAGGGGGAAAATAGCAGAGTTTTTGCTGTATCTACAAGTGATAAAGCAGTGTCTGGGGCTTGTTCTGACAAAGTAACAGTCTGAGCCTGAACTCCTTAACATGTTTTTGCTAAGTGTCTGCTTTCCATTACAGATTCAGCATATGTACCGCTGTGCTCGGGTTCAGGGCCTTGACACCAGCGAAGGGCTGCTTCTCTTTGGGAAAGAGCACTTCTATGTCATTGATGGGTTTACCATGACAGCTACCAGAGAAATACGGGATATTGAGACACTGCCTCCAAAGTGAGTAGATTAATAGAGAGTTTCTTCAATCTTTAATAGCTGAACAAGAAGTATTACTGATATTTTGGAGGAGTCAGCTCCAAAATAGTGTTGGATTCAGAAGGACCTCAGGAACAGTTTTCTCTCTGCTCACAAATTGCTCAGTGTATATCATGAAAATCAGCTGTTTCTGTACCTGGACTCTCATATGGATTGAGAGAATAATTCTTCTAAATTATCTTCTTTTTAATCACTTCTCTCTTGCTTGTTTATGCTCATTTACAGGATGCATGAGCCAATCATACCTCGGGGAGCAAGGCAAGGTCCAAGTCAACTCAAAAGAACATGCAGCATATTTGCATATGAAGATATCAAGGAAGTACATAAAAGGAGATACCTTTTACAGGTAACTTGGGCACCATATTTGGATTGAGGAGCCAACTTGGATTTTTTTGACAATGTTGTCATTTTTTAAAAGTAAAATAAATACATAATTGATCAACATTTTGAAACTGAAGGTATTCACTGTGTTGAAATTTGAGTGCTTAAGTTGGGCATCCTTGTTTGAATATTTGGCTTACCTTGGGTCAGTTTATTTGGGTGTATTTTAGTGAATTTTAGTGTTACAAAAATAAAGCATCATAGGCTGCACTAAGCAAAGTCTGCTTCAACATAATTTGGTGTCAGATGTAGTAGAGTATGACTAAAGGTCTGTACCTGACCTTCAGAGGTGACAAGCAAATAAATGTGTTAGTGTTGACATGGGATTGTCCTCTTTGTTTTCAGCCAATTGCAGTTGAAGTTTTCTCAGGAGACGGACGAAACTATCTTCTGGCTTTCCAAAAAGGGGTTAGAAACAAAGTTTATCAAAGGTATTGTAAAATAAGTTAGAATATTTAATCTGACTATTTACAAATATCTGTGTTGAGCCATACTTGAGCCTACAGTGACCTAAACCCCAGAAGTAGTTCGCAAGAGCAATGAGTGTGAGGCAGTGGATGACCTGATAACAACTCAGTGCTGCACAAAGGAACCACTAGGAGGCACTAATGCCCGCATGTGAAACTTGGGGGGTGTCCAGTGACAAAAAGGTCATTCCAATTTTGTTTAAGATGTTACGTAGCTGCTCAAAACGAGGTCTGTAACTGTATTAAGTGCACACTATTTCTAGGAAGATGACATACCAAGGACAGAAACACTAATCTTAATCTCCTTTTAACTACTGATTCAGGTTTTTGGCTGTGGTGCCATCTCTAACTGATAGTTCAGAGTCAGTGTCTGGGCAGAGACCAAACACCAGCGTAGAGCAAGGGTAAGTGATTCTGTTCTTCACAAGCTGTATAGCTCATCAGTTTCCAGTAAATGATGTTTTCAAATAAATGATGCATGAAGACCAGGCTGGATGGGGCTTTGAGCAACCTGGTCAGTGGAAGGTGTCCCTGCCCATGGCAGGGGGGTTATAACTAGATGAGCTTTAAGGTCCTTTCAAACCCAAACCATTGTGTGCTTCTATGCTTGTGTTAAGGTCAAGATTCACTGGAGAGTACTGTGACCTCAATTTAAAATTGGTCATTACCAAAATAAATAACTATTGATATTGTGCTCCAGTTATTTTAAATGTACTGATACCAATGGCAGCATTGGTATATCTTCTTACTAATTAATATATGCTATCAGGATTAACGTTACAGGTATACAGACACATTCTGAGAGGAATTGGAGTGCCCAAGCCATTATTAGATTTGTCCAAGTTGTTAAAAGTATTTTCCCCATCAACACCCTGTTAGATACATTTGTATTTGCACTGAATTGCATGATCAACGTGTATAATTTTAACAGTATGTGTTTAGAAATGAAAAAAAGGCATTGCTAGAGCAAAAAGGAACAAAGCCCCATTTTTCTCATCATTACAATTTACAAGTTTTAATCTTAAAACTTTAGATTGTCTTGTGAAGATGTAACCCAGATCTTACTGCTGAGTCGGATATTGCACTTTCTTCTTCCCATTAGGTCTGGCTTGCTTAGCACTTTAGTGGGAGAAAAATCTGTTACTCAAAGATGGGAAGTAAGTATGAAAATGTTGCGGGGGTTCTTTTATTCAATTCCACATTTTGTAATGCTACATAATTAATCAACGCACATAAGTTGCATCCTTTTATTTGAACACTTAGAATATACTACTATAGAAAGTGTATCTTAGCATTTTAGTTTGTAGTATTCTATGGAATCATCATCACATAAGAAATGATTCTACCATTGAAAATGCAAGAGGAGGGACTGTAGTAAAAGTAAGAGTGAGCATTGTAATGTTGAAGTAAGATTTGTATGTTTGGGGACAGCTGAGCACTTCAACAGTCTGACAGCGTAGACATTTGATTGTTGTAAAGTGAACACTTTACAGTGCTGTTATCTGTCTTCCTTAAGAGAGGAGAAATCAGTAACTTCCAGTACCTGATGCACTTAAACACACTGGCGGGCAGATCCTATAATGATCTCATGCAGTACCCTGTCTTTCCCTGGATCCTCGCAGACTACGATTCAGAGGTAAATATCTTTTCAGTGTTGTCAGTAATCTTTTATATGTTGGAGGTTTTGCAAGTATTACAGCTGGATCATACTGCCTTGGTAAAAGAGAGGCTTGTCTTTATCACCAGTTGTTTGATTTCATCTATTTTGTAATGTTCTTCACATTTCTCAGTGGGTAGGGTATTAGAGATTCCTGGCTGTCCTGTCCTATGTGGGCAGGTCCTTGCCTGCACTGAGTTTACAGATATTATTGGCCTGTTGCACATGCTAGGGCCAGAATCCATAGCTTGTTATAAGGCAGTCGCCTCTCTGCGTTGCAGCAGTTCCTGTAAGTCTTTGCATTAACTTTCTACTGAATATCCAGAAGGACGTTATGCTTGTCCAGAAGACTGTGGTAGGGGCTACTATGAAATCTGGTCCCATGGTGAAACATTTGCTTTTGAAAAAGAGGAAACATCCTATTAATGCTTTTGCAGGTAGCCATTGCTACCAGCCAGACCACGACATAAGATATTGTTAAGGGTGCATCTGGAGTATTCAATAACAGAATTATCGGGAATTGGGGAACAGGGTGAGGAGAGCAGGGTAAAAGTTATCCAGAGCCCAGATGTGACTTAAAATAAAAAACACTGACTCTCTTGGATCAGACTAAAGGATTGTTTTAAGCATATCCAACACTGTGCCTGCTGTGATGCAAAGATGACAGCCTTCAGAGGTATGTGATGTTAAATATAGTAATCAGTAGTGTTGAAAGGATTGGTTTGTTTTTTGTGTGTTGTTGCTGTTTGTGGTGGGGATTTTTGTTCTTTGGGTTTTTTTAATCGGTGTCTGTTTTATTTTTTAAAGGAACTGGATCTTACAAATCCCAAGACATTCAGAAACCTGGCCAAACCTATGGGAGCTCAAACAGAAGATAGGCTAGCCCAGTACAAGAAGCGATACAAAGATTGGGAAGATCCCAATGGTAAGCAATGATCCATCCAGCAGGAAGAGCAGATGGACCGTGTGCCTGGCTGCATAATGAGAGGGGGTTACGGGTTTTTGTATTATGGGTCAAGAAGTCTGGATGTGGATATGCAGAACTCTACTGTGGTTTTTAGTGACTCTCCAACAAATAATAAATTAGAGCAAAGGGAGGTTGGTTTTCTTGGTGTGCTGTTTGTTTTAAATCCAAATGACACCTTTCGTTTGTATGTAAAACTGAAGACAAAACAGTCACACATTCAGAACAGTTTAATATTGTCTAAAGGCTAGAATGGGCAAGCATAGGAAGCATACAACCAGCTGTCTCTGCTAATAAGGTTTGAGTGCTGCTGTAAGACAGTAAGTTGTACAAAGGAATAGAGGTACTTCTGCATTAATAGTACTTGAGCTTTTTCATTTCTTGTCTTAATGCATGTGTTTTTTGTAAGGAAACAGCATTTTCTCAGGAAAACCAAATGACTCAAAATGAGGTACACTTAAATTACATATTCTTGCTTTTAGAGCTTTCTTACGTATTGAAAATAAAACTTGTGTATTTGGCAAGGCATCTATTGCATAATACATTTCTTCTTGTGTGCTTTTATTGAAGATACAAGCCTGTTCAACTATTGCAGCACTGTTCTATATCAAACAGCAGGTGGCAAAGAAGTTCATTTCTAGAAATGAATCAGTATGTTCTAAGTGTATTTATGAAGACTTTTTGGCAGGAAATTAGGAAAGTAAAAGCTGTTCAAATTCTGTAGCAAAGAATTCTGAGACTTATTTCTACTCAAGCCTTTAATGCCACAGTAACCAATAAGACTAAAAGTGAAAAAGAAGCCCATTGAATTAGGGCTACTGGACTGCAGCCAAAACTCAAGCGGTGGCTCAAGAAAGTTTTCAGATTCTTGAGAATGAAAACTAAAAATTCCAATTCAAAACATGTCAAAAGTCACAAAATAATTAAAATGTAGCACTAATTTTCCCTTTTTTTAAGTACTACTGATTCTGTCACTTAACTGCTTTATTTGTCCTACATTTGTGATTTTTTAATCTTCCACAGGGGAAACCCCAGCTTATCACTATGGGACCCACTATTCATCGGCCATGATAGTGGCTTCCTATCTTGTTCGGATGGAGCCTTTTACTCAGATTTTCTTACGATTACAGGTAAAAATTGCATCACTTCACTTCATGTTTCTTTTCATTTGAGACCTAGGTGAAAAATATGACCAGTCTGCTTTGTTTTAATCAAACATGGTAGGAGAAATATTTTTAGCAAAGTTGTTATTGCCTGGGAGGTTTTTGATGTTTCTTTGTAAAAGATATAACAGAATTCACTTCTTTTTTTCCTGTAGTTTGAATTGAATGTATGTGGAACAGAATAGCAGACAAAAAACAGAGCAAGTTTTATAATGACACTGCTCATCATTCTTTTTTCATCTGTTGTTGAAAGAATCTTATGCCAGTTGTTTAGTTCTATACTGGAGGAGTGAAAAGCTTGTTATTTTAAATGAATGTGTTTATCCAAAGAGCTATTTTAGTTACTCAGTGCTAAAATAAACAAATGTTTGCAGAGCCTGGAAGTGTTTGCCAGTTTGATGGGTAATGGGGTTTGTAACATTACATGCCAAATATTTTCCTATACAGAACCCAGCAGGCAAAAATATTTGTGTTGCTCTAGAAGAGTCTAAACTTTGAAATGGGACTAGATGACTCTCTTCTTAAAATTCTATATATCTGTATCTCAGTGTTTACTCTTATTATGTACCAGAAAGTAATGCAACTGTTTAAATCTGTTGTGTTAGAGGAAGAATCATGCTACCTTGTATAGTGTCTTTATTAGGCAGAGGATGTTCTGGTTTGCCTTCTTGGCAAAATCTGCTGTTCTGAGAGATGCTCTGCTGCTGACATGCTTCTTGCTCTGTCCCGCAGGGCGGTCACTTTGACCTGGCTGACCGAATGTTTCACAGCGTACGGGAGGCTTGGTATTCAGCATCAAAGCACAACATGGCAGACGTGAAGGAGCTCATCCCAGAGTTCTTCTACCTCCCTGAGTTCCTGCTCAATTCCAACAATTTTGACCTAGGTAGGCAGAAAGAGCTTGATAGCGCTGCAAGGGGTGCAAGAACAGTGCCAGACAGTCTGATGTGAGAGAAGTGTATCATAATACAGGCAGAAAAAGATCTGTTTAACTGCATGAGAAAATGACAGATGACTTGCATATTCTGACGTGAAAGGATAAGCAGGACTACTTCTGGTATTTCCTGATACTACATGCTTATTCAGTATCATATTTGAAAGTCTGAATAATTCAGAACTTATCATTTCATTGGGAGGGGTGTAGCAGGAATTCTTATTTCCTCTGTGATACCTCAGATTTACTTTTCCAGATTTATCAGACTGAAGATATTTTCTTAAGCAATGAATATTAATTTTAAGCAGTTAATGATATGTTAATGATAATGTTAATTATAATGTTCTGATAATTGCTGAGTGAGATACTGAAGTACCCAAACAGGATTTTTGTTCAGAGTGTCATATTTTAGTTGATTTTTGGGTTTTTTTTACCAGCTCAATACAGACAGATAATCATGTTTTCTTGGAGTTTCTCTGATCTGTATTTTTCTCCATGTGACTTGCTCCTCCATGATTGTGTTCACCATCCACTTTTGCGTATTTTTTTAAGCTTTGCAAAATCTGACAGTCTTCACTTTTAGAACTTCCCCCTAAAGCATTCTTAAAGTTTTTGTTGAACTGTCACAGTTAGCTTTTGTGAGAGTGATTACTTCAACAGGAGCCAAATTTCACTCCTATTGGCCATAGGAGATACATGTTCTTTAGTATGTATGTCACTGTTAACAGTGGCATTAAGCTCTTCCTTTCTGAGCTCTGTGCTGTGAATCCAAGAGCAATAATGAAGCTTAATCAAGCTGTAGGTTTTAACAGGCTCAAATACCTTATTCAGAATGTGTTGTAAGAGGTTGAAAGCACAACCTTACAAAAACAAAAGCAACACCAAAAGAACACCCCACAAAACCTCTCCCAAGTATATTTCACACAGAAGGATATGGCCATTACCAGAACAATCATAGAATCATAGAACGATTTGGGCTGGAAGGGACCTTAAAGCTCATCTAGTTCTAACCCTCCTGCCATGATCAGGAACGCCTACCCACTACACCAGGTTGCTCAAAGCATCGTCCAACCTGGCCTTGAACACTGCCAGGAATGTAGCAGCCACAACTTCTCTGGGCACCCTGTGCCAGTGTCTCACCACCCTCATAGTGAAGAATTTCTGCCTAAAAATCTAATTTAGATCTACGCACTTTCCGTTTAAAGCCATGCCCCCTTGTTCTGTCACTACATGCCCTCTGGGTGCAAAATGGGCAGCTGCTATGGTAGCAGTTCCCTATAGCAGGGTTGGCTGCTTAGGTGTGAGCTCAACTGATGTAACAAGATTCTGTCTGCAATGATTGCTGAAGGCTATTTTACTTGCTGATGTTTTCATGAACTTTTGTGGACTGCAGTGGATCTTTCCCATGATGGGGAGAGAAAAGACAAAACTTAAGCAGAAAAATTAAACCAAAATAATCATGTACTTGATGGGGAAACATAAAGGTTTTGAGTTCAAGACTGTACATTATGTCATGGTGTAAGCCCAGCCAGCAACTTGGAACCACGCAGCCCACCGCCCAGCCC